TTACAGTAAATTATTTTAACACATTTTACTCTTTATAAGCTTTGTTCGTCTCATTCTTGGTCTTGTAGGGAGACTCCTTATCGGCCGGGTAAATGGCATCAACATTTGCCCGTTTCAGGTTCGCATCAAAGTCACTGAACCTCCAGAAGTATCCATCAACCAGCTGAGCCTCCTTTATGTTCTTGGCAGGAATTGCCCCCTTCACAGCCCACTCCTGCTGCCAGCTATACGTGTTAATCTCCTTCTGGAGCTTCTTCTCCTCCAGATAGTCCGGAACATACACCATCTCCAGCCCAGCCGTGTTGATCGTGTACAGCCACCCAGTGCGCCTGTAGTACTTGATCTCGGGATGCGTCTTGTCTACAAAAGAATCCTCTGGGATCACCTGCTTCATAAACACTCCGGCCACTCTCCGAGTCTGAGTGGTGGCGATATAAGCCGTGTCGCTGAGATTCGGGCCGCCACGGACGTGAGCAAGGACATCTGTGTTCTTACCGGCGGCCTTGATCCCGTTCTTGAACACATCATCCACAGGCGCCCTGGTGTCCCCTCTGTATATGAACTTCGGAGGCTGACGAGCCTTGCGCGGGGGCTCTGGCGTTCCGCGTCCGCCTGATGATTTCGGTGGTGCAGGAGCCGGCGCAGCGGGCTTGGAAGGTGCTGGGGCAGAGCCCTTCGACGCCATTTCGATTCAGGAAAACAAACTATCAGAAGAAAGCAGAGATGGATGGGATTGCCTTGGCACCGGAGTTTTATACTGGTGGGACTGCCTTCAGAGTCAATCAGCACAGAGCCATCGCTGTTACGTCATCTTTCCAGTGTGCGAGAGACGCGTTCGCCTTGGGATGCCGTGTTCTATTTAGCTTCCATCTCTGACTTCAAAAATCGGTAGTGTCTCTTGTACACCTGAGCCCAGAAAACTGTATTATAATGCAGAGGTCGTACCTTTGGATGAGGACGGCCAATATGTTAGTCTTTGTCCAAGACTGGCTTGACCGAAGCTCGCTTGTTTCAGTGCTCAGCTTCCTCAAATCATTCCCTTTAATGGATCGAGTTAGTATCTGATTAAATGAGTGTTGCCAGCTTCGAAGGACATTTCAATCCAGAGATGAATGTAGTGCCCTGTTCTCGACTTCGTCAGGCCGGTTTCAGTATTAGATTGAACAATATATATCAGTTAGCGAGTCAAGCACGGCACCACCAGGATGGTCGCCTGTGACACACGTAGTACGAGGCAGAAGCTTCTACAAGAAAAAAAAAAAAAAGTCTTACAAAATTTTACTGCAGCGATCCCGCAAACCTCGGCTAGTAGAGCATTCTAAAATCCACCGCAAAAAAAATCTGAAGAACCTTGTGAGTCATTTGAGACTTGTTTGTCCCATACCTGAACCAGTTAGCTCTTTCTTCCAATTCTCCGAAGTACCATCTTCACGCAATTTAACAGCTTTGATTGCAGCTGCGGAGCGAAGATACCGTGAACCATAAGCCTTCAAAGCCGCAAATCGCTTTGTCTCAATGCCACCTATAGCTCACGGCCGGAATGCTTCTTAGTTTTGGGTGGAAAATCCCCAAAAAAGAAGGCTGGCTCGATCATGCTTGTTACACAATCCAAAGCCCAGCCCCAAAACGTTTTCCGTGTTACAGTTCCAACAGAGATTCGTTTTTTCTTATTCCTTTGCGCGTGATCCAAGTTTGTACAAATGTAGTCAAATCGATTTCCTGTGATTCGGATAATTAGCTTCCTTGCAGCTTGATCATATCTACACTGGTTCTCTTACTTTGATAAAGAGTCTCGGACTCTCGAGAAAAACTTTTCGCTCTCAGACTATATACTCAAAGTAATCCTCGCTAAATCTCTCCATCTCTCTCTCATCCAAAGCGAGAGAGAAAGAAGCTCTTGGATCGATCAGCACTGCATGAGCAGCCTCACCTCCTGGATGCACTGCTTCCGCCTCTCCTCGGACGCCTCCTTCCCCAACGCGATCTGCGCGTACGCCCGCTTCTTCTCCTGCATTTGCAGCAGCCTCTCCTCGATGCTGTCCGTCGCAACCAGCCGGAACACATGAACGTCCCTCGTCTGTCCCAGCCTGTGCACCCGATCCATTGCCTGTTCTTCCGCCGCCGGGTTCCACCACGGATCCAGCATGACGACGTTGGACGCGCTCACCAGGTTGAGCCCAACACCCGCGGCTTTCAAGCTGAGCAGGAACACCGTCGGCGAATCCTTGCTCGTCGACTTGAACGCCTCCATGGCCTCGTCTCTCTTCTTGGCGCTCATGCCGCCCTGGAGCTTGACGAACTTGTAGCCGGCCTGTGTGAGCGGAGCTTCCGCCAGCTTGAGCATGGACGAGAACTGCGAGAAGACCACCGTCTTGATGCTCGGGTCTTTGGCTCGCGTCTTGTCCAGGATGGATAGCAGTGCTGTGATCTTCGCGCTGCTACCACCACCACCGCCATCGCCATCGTTGCCAGCTTCTTCTTGCTCCTCGCCAACGTTGGACGTGTAGATGTCCGAGATGGTTAAGTCACCCCGGCACATCGGGCACTGGCGTTTGTCTCGCTCGAGAGTCTTCTCGATACATCTCCGGCAGAAGACGTGAGCGCAGCGAGTGATGATCGCGGTGACCGGCGGCGAGAGGCAGATCGGGCAGTCGAAGTCGTCGCCGATCATCGCCAGCATCTTCTGGAGGAGCTCCGGACTAGCGATTTGTCCTGCGCAGCTCAAGAACACAAAAGACTAGTGAGACGAGAAGAGGCAAGCAAGAAAAGAACTTTACCTTGATTCTCAGCTCCTAGTGCCGCTAGAACATCCATGGATCCCGGACACATGCTGGAATGGTCGCACAGCTGCCGGAGCCGCAAGATGATCTGGAGAACGATTGCGTAGTTCTTAGTCATGGTGCCGTTTGCGATGTACTTGAGGATGATATCCTTGCCGTCTCGCTCCATCTTGTCGTAGATCGCGCGGTCATTGGGAGTGAGATCCACTGGAAACACCGTGACAATCTTTGGAGGCAAGTCCACCAGCTTTTTCCCGTTCACTCTCGCCTCTTTGGTTCGTCGCAGCGAGATGGCGGACATCAATCCCTGCAAAGTTCCACGAGTTAAAACCAGAGAAAAAGACCAACTTGCGAGAAGCTTACCTGTAACCGGGCAAAACCAGCCGGCTGGCCACTCGTGAGCGGTCTCTGAATGGTTCTATTCCAGAAGGTCCGCTCGCTGAGAGGCTCGAAGTGGAGGAACTGCATGAGACTGAAGAGATCCTTGGCGTTGTTCTGTATTGGAGTGCCAGTCACGGCCCATCGCCGATCGGCATTCAGTGAGATCGCACACTTGGTCTGCTGCGCCTTTGGATTCTTCACGAGGTGTGCTTCGTCCAAAACGAGCCTCAGCCACTGGACTTTCCGCAGCGCCGAGTTCCTGTCGTTCCACTCGCTGGCCAGCATGTTATAAGTCGTGAAAACCAGATCGTGGCTCGCGAGCTTCTTCGCGTTTTTTATCCGGTCGGGGCCGTGGAAGACGCACACGTTGAGACTCCCGGCTCGAGTGTGATCTTCCAACTGCCCGATCCAGTTGCTCAGCACGGAGAGTGGACACACCACCAAAGTCGCGAGAGGCCCGCCAGCTTTCGGGACGCACGGTGGAGGAGGATGATCGTCACTGCCGGAGTCACTGGCTTTCTTATCCCTGCCTTTGCTTCTCTCGGTGGTCTTGCTCTTCTTCGCAGCCGGTTGTTCTTCCAGCTCTTCGAGCTCCTCGGCGATGTCTACCACCGGCGGGAGCACAGCTCCAGGCCTGTTGGTGGCGACGAGAGCGAGCACCGCGAGCGTCTTCCCGAGTCCCATATCATCGGCTAGAATCCCTCCTCGCAGCGGCTCCGGACGCTTGTCGCACGTAAAGTTCGTCAGCGTGTTCATGTACATGGTCGTCGCGTTGCTTCCTTTCGGCGGCTGGATCTCCCAGAAAGGTGGCAGCGCCGAGCTGTTCTCCCGCTGGATCATCCAAGCCAGCGCCTCCTTCTGGTGCTGCATTAGCTCCGACTTCACGATGCTCGAGTCGGGCTCCATCGCCTGCCGCTTCTTGCAGTCGAGCGCGAGATCTTCGAAGATATCATCAATGCTGGGCTTCTTTGGAGCGGAGGAAGCAGCGCCAGCGAGAACCTTTCGCTTGCTCGTCTTGCTCGAGGCTCTTCCACCGCCGCCACCTTCATGAGCTCCCTCCTCGAGGAGGCCTCCACTCAAACGCTCGCCAAAGTAGTCGAGGTGATCGACCACGGCGGCGGCCAAGGCGGGCTTGCTAAAGACGTGGACCTGGCACGGCATCCTGTACGCGTTCTTGCTGCCGCTGGGAACGATGCCCTCGAGAAAGGCGAGGTTTTGATCCACCAGCGGAGCCAAATGCATTGCCTTGTTCTTCTCGACATGGCCGACCTGGTCGCCCCGGATGTTGAGCACCCGGATGGCGTTGGAGTCGTATGGATTGGTGGGCTCTCGGACAAGCTGGACCATCTCGCCGTTGGTCACCGTGCCGTGGTAGTACCGCAGACCCACAACGTTAACCGTGAGACAACCCACCAGGATCGCTTCCGCCTCCTCCTCCTCCTCGCCGGAGTCGTCCTCCACTTCCACCACTTCCTGTGAAGCGCTCATCCTGTTCTTAAGAAAGAACTAGGGCACATGAATAATAATAATAATAATAATAATAAGAAAAGATTTAGTGCAGATCATGTTTGGCCCTCACAATGTTAAATTAAACATTCTTATAAAATTATTATTATTTAGATTTTAAAAATGCAAGTAACTTTCTAATCTAATTATAATTGAAAAATAAGTCGTCCATTGAGCTTTGAGATGCTCCAATTTAAAAAACTTCCACTTGCGATAACAGAATATTCTGGCAATCCTAGAAATTATTATAATAATAAATGGCATTTTCAACGATAGTTTGGTTTGTAACAAACTGGTTTATATACCTGTCTTGGAACTCTCCTCTTTTACCAAATGGAGAGCCCAGAGCTAAAGGCTTCGTTTCTAAGCCGCTTGACATGGCACTGGATGGGAGCCATGATCTCCACAGGGAACAAGCGTCCCTTGGAGGTAGTGTTAAATTCACCAATCTTGCCAAAATTTGTGTCTCTCTGTCTACTAGATGAGCGATTTGTATGAGCTTAATCAAGAGGATAAGGCAGAATCTTGCGAGCAAAGATGGAACGAATGCTACGAGGAAGAGGGGAGCAAAAGAGTGTTGCGAGTGATCTTGAGGTTCCTGGGAGTGAAGTTCTTCCTCTTGTTTATCTTGCGCCCTTTGTGGCTGGCAGCGCTCATCTTGCAGGTTTTTGAGCAGTAAGCTCTTGGGGCCTTCGTAACTTACACCGATCTCTCACAGGTTTATGTTATTAAGGAGCTCATTCATCGCTCCAGACTCAAGAGCTCCAGAACATGGAGTGATTTCCTCCTCGTTGCCGGACTGTTCTTCCTGGCACAATCCCAGAGCTTATGCAACATCTGGATGTTCTTCTATGGCTGGAGATATGGCGTTCGCTTGCGTGCTGCTTTTTCCATGGCTGCTTTCAACAAGGTCTTTGTGCATAATACTCTTTTGCTTCTTTGTTATATTAACTTTTTGTGATTTATGGAGATGTTGAGCACAAGAACGGCTGAATTTAGTGGATCCTTGGATAGCTTGCTGTTTAATCTTGTCAACAGTGATACCCAAAAGCTGATTGATTGCTTGTGTATACTTCCTTATGGTATGATATGTAGTTGCAATCGCTTTGCTCTAAACCATTGTGGGACTTGCAGTGGTTTGCTTTCCATTCCATTTGCTTGTTGTGAGTTTTTTCTTATATCGAGAAGCAGGCATTGCCACACTTGCTGGAGTAGCTTGGACGGTCGTGGTGGGAATATTAATGGTAATAAGAATTCCTGATTCTTTTTCCAAATTGCTTACATCATTATTATATTAGTTCTATGTGGCGAAGTATATGGGGCACTTGGCAAGAAGAAAGCATTCTCACACTGATGCTCGGGTGGGAATCCTTTGTGAAACTTTGGCTGGCATTAGAATTATCAAGTTCAATGGTTGGGTTCCTTTGTTTATGAAAAAAATCAATAGTGCTCGTGCTGGTGAAATGAAGTGGGTTTCCAAGTTGGCTATGATCAGTACAATCATGTATATTTTGAAGGTATGTTTTAGTTTCTCAAGATTCTAATTATCATTCTCTATTATTGTCTCAGGATTCAATTGTTCCATTTGCATGCGTATTTGCTTTTGGTGTTTATATCATTCATCATAAAATGCTTGACGTGACAATAGCTTTTGTTGTCCTATCTTTCTTCAGTATTCTTGCAAGGGATAGCTTATGTTTCATTCATGGTATGGTTTCTATAAAACAAAACATCTCACTGAAAGAAAAAATTTGATTTGCAATTGAAAGGTTTGCCATCAATTTCTAATGCACTAGTAGCTGTGGAGAGACTACAAAAGGTGTTGGACTTGACAAATAGTTTGCAAACATCCAAGTCAAAGGTATGTGCTTAATGTTTTATATTTATTTTGAATAAGTAATTAATTAAGAATATTTTTTTTCTAGAAAACCTCAAACATATTTGCTATTGAGCTTTTGGACTGTATTTTTGCTAGAAACATTTCCAAAAGCATTAATCCCAAGCCCATACACATGCAAATTCAGAGGGGTAATCTTGCTGGCTTGATTGGTAAGGTGGGAAGTGGTAAGAGTTCTTTGCTATATGGAATTTTAGAAGAACTAAAGGTTGGTTAATTGATGTTGTTTTATAATTTTGGAAGGTAATAATTGACTTTACAGCTAACTCAAGGTTCATTATTTGTGGAAGGAAATATAGCTTATTCCCCACAACAGCCTTGGATATTAAATGATACAATGCGAAATAATATTGTCTTTGGCAGCATATTTGATAATAAACGCTATGATAATGTAGTGGCGGCTTGTGCACTTAATCATGACATTTCAATGCTACCTAATGGGAGTGACACTGAAATTGTAAGTTATATGTTATTTATATTCCTAACTTATATTGTGATTTAAAAAGGGGGAAAGAGGGGTAAATTTAAGTGGCGGACAAAAGGCTAGAGTATCTCTTGCTCGTGCATGTTATAGTACTGCTCCTATTATTCTTTTGGATGATCCTTTATCTGCTGTTGATGCTTCAACAGCTAAATACATCGTTGATTATGTACTAAATGGCATTTTAAAGGGAAGAACAGTAATTATGGCAACACATTCTATTATAAGCTTACAAGCTTGTGATGAAATTTATTTATTAGATACCAATAATGGTATTAAGCGCATCTTATCAAGTTCTAAAGATATAAAACGTGAGATGGAGTTGGTATCAGCTAAAACAGAATTAAATGCTAGTCAATATAGTAAGCTGGACAATTCAAAAGGAGGCATAGTGAAACAAGAGACAATGGAAAGTGGAAATATAAAACTCTCTCATTATTTAGAATATCTACACATAGCTGGTTGGTAAGTTTTTAAATTATTGATATGGTTTTTTATTATATAAATGTACAGGTCAACCTTTTTAATAATTCCCATATTTATTTTGGGGCAAGGAGCACTTCTGATGGTAGACTATTGGATTCGAGTTTGGACAGATAACAAGTATAATTTAGAAAAATACACTTATTTGATACTCTTTACATGCCTTGGTATATTTGCGATCATTATTTCTCTTTTGAAGTGTATTATTTTCAACCAAGCATATTTAACTTCTTCAAGGAATATGCATAACTTAATGGTTGAAAAAGTGTTCCGTTCACCTCTTTTATTTTTTGACCAAGTAAGTACCTAGGTTCATAGCTAAACTAAAGGATAAATTTATATTCAGAATCCAATTGGAAGACTTCTAAATCGCTATAGTAAGGATCAAGCTATAGCAGATGAAACTTTACCATCAGTAATCAAGGTTTGATTGCATTATTAATAATTAAATTAACTAAAACTATATTTTATAGCGAGCACTCGAAGGCATTTATGATTCTATTGGTGGACTAGTACTAATTGGAATTCTAATACCATGGTTTTTGCTTACAATTCCACTTGCATTGGCCATACTTATTTTTGTCAGACAACAATATATTTCTACAGGCAGTGCACTTAAAAGGTTGGATGCTATTTCTCAGTCACCAATATTTACACATTTTACAGAAACACTACAGGTAAAATTGAGTATTTTTTATTTTAAAAATAATACTAACAATGTTTTATTCAAAAGGGAGCGGTTTCTATCAGAGCATATAATTATCAAAAACGGTTTCATGATCAGCTTGTTAAATTGGTGGACAACAATCATAAAGCTTATATTTTATATGTTCATGCATCAAGATGGCTCTCTACAAGATTGGACTTTGTAACTACAATATCTATCACAGTTGCAGCATTTTTTATTGTTTTTTTAAGGAATTATATTTCTCCTGGGCTCACAGGTAAAAGTATCAGCCTGATAGCTTTTTTTGAATATCAGTTCTACAACTGCTAATGCTTTGTTGTATAATCAGGTGTTATACTTGTACAAACTTTAAAGCTTACTGATGTCCTCCAGATTGCAATCAAATGGACAGTTGAAGCAGAAAGCGTGTTTGTAAGTGTGGAGAGAATTCTAGAATATTGTCATTTATCTACAGAGGCCACAAATAAATCTGAGCCAAGGATTCTTTCAAGCAATTGGCCTGCTGCGGGGTCTATTGAGTTTATCAACTACACGTTAGCATACAGGGAAGATCTTCTAGCAGTTTTGAATAACATATCATTTAAGGTAATAATTACTATTGTGTAGTTTTAAATTAGTTATTTTATCCAACAGATTTTCCCATTAGAAAAAATAGGAATTGTGGGAAGAACTGGTGCCGGAAAGTCAAGCTTGGCTGCAGCTATGTTCAGAATGGTTGAGAACATGGCTTGTAGTGGAACAATACTTGTGGATGATATTGACATCAAGACCATTGGACTGGATGATTTGAGACAAAGATTGTCAATAATCCCACAGGTAAGCTTTCAATATAATTCAAATGTCAATGCCTTAGAAGTGTTCACAATGAGCAGGATCCTGTTCTTTTTTCTGGCACATTAAGATTTAACATGGATCCATTTGGAAAGAACGATGATAGAGAAATTCATGAAGCACTGACAAGAGTGCATTTCTCCAGCACACAGTCGTATAAGAACTTTGACAACGGCTTAGATGGTCAGATTACAAGTTCTGGAACAAACTTTAGCGTTGGAGAAAGGCAGCTTCTTTGCCTTGCAAGAAGTTTGCTAAGAAAGTAAGATTGTATTGATTCTACTTCGCAACTGATCATAGCTTATTCTTGCAGGTCCAAAATCCTTATTATGGACGAAGCAACTGCAGCAGTAGACAATGACACAGACCAAATCATTCAAGCAACTATTCGAGCCTCTTTCCAGGATTGCACCGTTCTAACAGTTGCCCATCGCATCCAAACAATTATTGACAATGATCGTGTCTTAGTGATGGAAGCTGGACGCATTGCAGAGTTTGATACCCCCAAGAACCTCCTCAAATTAACAGGCAAGTTATACTCGATTCTATTATGGTTTAGAATCTTATGTTATGTTTCTTAGATGGACTTTTCTTCAACATGGTCGCTCATAATAAAGCAAGGTTAATATGAGATCTATTTCTTTTAAAATGTCTTATCCAGAAGAGTATAATAAAAGATCACTGTAAAAACTACTATTCAAGCTGGTAGTTTAGTAGATGATACTTTCTTATTCAAGTTCACGGTTTTTTCTAAATTATGCAAGAATACTAACATACCACGAAATTTAATTTAACAAGAGAGTGCTCAACCTTGACTACATTTTTACCACTTTGCGCCACCTCCTGCGCTACTGAGTGATCGCTCCACGCCCATATTGACACCAATGCGCAGCTCATCGGACTGGTCTTCTCGCCATTTCCGGCTCTGATGGAAGTGCTGGCAAAACAGCCGAGCTCAATCTTTTCATCCTGGAAGTTCCTTTATGTTCTTCATCGTTTTTTCCTTTTCTTATTTCTAAACTACTCCAGTTTCATGACTGAGGTGAAGATCAAGAGCATTTGCGTCTTCGGAGGCACTGATGGCAGTCCATCCAAAGAAGTGTTTTCAGTCTTTTTCTCTCTGCTGGGTTTTGCTTAGTGCTGGCTTTGCAGGTTTATAAACCGCCAGCTCTTCTGGAAGATGGCATCAAGCTGTTTGTGTACGCAGGCAAATACGATCTCATTTGCAATTGGCTGGTAAGTTCGTGGATAAGTTTGTTTTTAAATGCAGGAAACTATGGATTGATCTGACCAGCAATCTTACGTGGAGGCGAACGTTTAGAAGTTCTCTAGAATTCTTTGTCGTGGAAGTTTATGTATAAGAACTATAATTACATTTGGGTTTTGTGTCGTAGCCCGCTCTCGGATCATCAGGAGACTTCAAGGTTTCAACTTCACGGTTTGTTTCTTAATTTAAGTGCTCGAATCTCAAGCACCGCAAGCACAAAAGCGTGATAGACGTGGAGTTTGATTCAATGGACATAGCTTTGCGCTACTGTGGAGTCGAGCTCGCCGTCCAGCAGTTTTGATTCCCCAGCTTTGTGCTTAGCGCACTGTTTTGGTGACAAGGAGGATCGTGGTGAACGAGACGAGCCTAAGTTGGAGCTGCTTAAAGCGGATATTGAATCGGGCAAAGTTCCACTCTTGGCGGCAATCCAAGTGGTTTGGAGGAGACATGTTATAAGCTGTGAAACCAATGCGCAAGATATTGTGTTTGATGGCCAACCTTTAGTTATGCATGATAAATATTGAGCTAAACATAGTTAATATCCTTATACTAGAATATTACCTAGAATATTTACTATGCGGACAGACACGTGGACCTGTCGCGTACATTTTCTAGGGCTTCCGCTAGCAATGGCGTCGTGCACACCGTTGGTCACCGTGCCGTGGTAGTACCGTTGGTGGTGAGACAACCCACCAGGATCGCTTCCGCCTCCTCCTCCTCCTCCTCCTCGCCGGAGTCGTCCTCCACTTCCGAAGCGCTCATCCTGTTCTTTAGAAAGAACTAGGGCACATGAATAATAATAATAATAATAATAATAATAAAACAAAAGATTTAATGCAGATACTGTTAAATTAAACATTCTTATAAAATAATTATTATTTAGATTTTAAAAATGCAAGTAACTTTTTAATCTAATTATAATTAAAAATAAGGCCTGTTCATCGTCCATTGATTAAAAAACTTACGATAACAGAATATTCTGGCAATCCTAGAAATTATTATAACATTTTCAACGATAGTTTGGTTTGTAACAAGTTTATGCAAATGGAGAGCCCAGAGCTAAAGGCTTCGTTTCTAAGCCGCTTGACATGGCAGTGGATGGGAGCCATGATCTCCACAGGGAACAAGCGTCCCTTGGAGGTAGTCTTAAATTCACCAATCTTGCCAAAATTTGTGTCTGTCTGTCTACTAGATGAGCGATTTGTATGAGCTTAACCAAGAGGATAAGGCAGAATCTTGTGAACAAAGATGGAACGAATGTTACGAGAAAGAGGGGAGCAAAAGAGTGTTGCGAGTGATCTCGAGGTTCCTGGAGTGAAGTTCTTCCTCTTGTTTATCTTGCGCCCTTTGTGGCTGGCAGCGCTCATCTTGCAGGTTTTTGAGCAGTAAGCTCTTGGGACCTTTGTAACTTACACCGATCTCTCCCAGGTTTATGTTATTAAGGAGCTCATCCATCGGTCCAGACTCAAGAGCTCCAGAACATGGAGTGATTTCCTCCTCGTTGCCGGACTGTTCTTCCTGGCACAATCCCAGAGCTTATGCAACATCTGGATGTACTTCTATGGCTGGAGATATGGCGTTCGCTTGCGTGCTGCTTTTTCCATGGCTGCTTTCAACAAGGTCTTTGTGCATAATACTCTTTTGCCTCTTTGTTATATTAACTTTTTGTGATTTATGGAGATGTTGAGCACAAGAACGGCTGAATTTAGTGGATCCTTGGATAGCTTGCCGTTTAATCTTGTCAACAGTGATACCCAAAAGCTGATTGATTTCTTGTGTATACTTCCTTATGGTATGATATGTAGTTGCAATCGCTTTACTCTAAACCATTGTGGGACTTGCAGTGGTTTGCTTTCCATTCCATTTGCTTGTTGTGAGTTTTTTCTTATATCGAGAAGCAGGCATCGCCACACTTGCTGGAGTAGCTTGGACGGTCGTGGTAGGGATATTAATGGTAATAAGAATTCCTGATTCTTTTTCCAAATTGCTTACATCATTATTATATTAGTTCTATGTGGCTAAGTATACGGGGCACTTGGCAAGAAGAAAGCATTCTCACTCTGATGCTCGGGTGGGAATCCTTTGTGAAACTTTGGCTGGCATTAGAACTATCAAGTTCAATGGTTGGGTTCCTTTGTTTATGAAAAAAATCAATAATGTTCGTGCTGGTGAAATGAAGTGGATTTCCAAGTTGGCTATGATCAGTACAATCATGTATATTTTGAAGGTATGTTTTAGTCTCTCAAGATTCTAATTATCATTCTCTATTATTGTCGCAGGATTCATTTGTTCCATTTGCATGCTTATTTGCTTTTGGTGCTTATATCTATCATCATAAAATGCTTGACGTGACAATAGCTTTTGTTGTCCTATCTTTCTTCAGTATTCTTGCAAGGGATAGCATATATTTCATTTATGGTATGGTTTCTATAAAATAAAACATCTCACTGAATGAAATGTTTTTGAAAGGTTTGCCACAAACTTCTAATGCACTAGTAACTGTGGAGAGACTACAGAAGGTGTTGGACTTGCCAAATAGTTTGCAAACATCCAAGTCAAAGGTATAACTTTTTATATTTATTCTTAAGATTTTATTAATTAAGAATAATATATGTTTAGAAAACCTCAAACATTTTTGCTATTGAGCTTTTGGACTGTAATTTTGCTAGAAACACTTCCAAAGGTATTAATCCCAAGCCCATACACATGCAAATACAGAAGGGTATTCTTGCTGGCTTGATTGGTAAGGTGGGAAGTGGTAAGAGTTCTTTGCTATATGGAATTTTAGAAGAACTAAAGGTTGGTTAATTGATGTTGTTTTTATCATTTTGGAAGGTAATAATTGACTTTACAGCTAACTCAAGGTTCATTATTTGTGGAAGGAAATATAGCTTATTCCCCACAACAGCCTTGGATATTAAATGATACAATGCGAAATAATATTGTCTTTGGCAGCATATTTGATAATAAACGCTATGATAATGTAGTGGCGGCTTGTGCACTTAATCATGACATTTCAATGCTACCTAATGGGAGTGACACTGAAATTGTAAGTTATAAGCTATTTATGTTCCTAATTTATATTGTGATTTTAAAAGGGGGAAAGAGGGGTAAATTTAAGTGGCGGACAAAAGGCTAGAGTATCCCTTGCTCGTGCATGCTATAGTACTGCTCCTATTATTCTTTTGGATGATCCTTTATCTGCTGTTGATGCTTCAACAGCTAAATACATCGTTGATTATGTACTAAATGGCATTTTAAAGGGAAGAACAGTAATTATGGCAACACATTCTATTATAAGCTTACAAGCTTGTGATGAAATTTATTTATTAGATACCAACAATGGTATTAAGCGCATCTTATCAAGTTCTAAAGATATAAAAAATGAGATGGAGTTGGTATTGGCTAAAACAGAATCAAATGCTAGTCAATATAGTAAGTTGGACAATTCAAAAGGAGACATAGTGAAACAAGAGACGATGGAGATTGGAAATATTAAGCTCTCTCATTATTTAGAATATCTACACATAGCTGGTTGGTAAGTTTTTTTAATTATTGATATGGATTTCGATTATATAAATGTACAGGTCAACTTTTTTAATAATTCCCATATTTATTTTGGGGCAAGGAGCACTTTTAATGGTAGAATATTGGATTCGAATTTGGACAGATAACAAGTATAATATATCAAAATACACTTATTTGATACTCTTTACATGCCTTGGTATATTTGCGATCATTATTTCTCTTTTGAAGTGTATTATTTTCAACCAAGCATATTTAACTTCTTCAAATAATATGCATAAGTTAATGGTTGAAAAAGTGTTCCGTTCACCTCTTTTATTTTTTGACCAAGTAAGTACCTAAGTTCATAGCTAAACTAAAGGATAAATTTATATTCAGAATCCAATTGGAAGACTTCTAAATCGCTATAGTAAGGATCAAGCTATAGCAGATGAAACTTTACCATCACATATCAAGGTTTGATTGCATTATTAATATTTAAATTAACTAAAAATAATTTTTTTAGCGAGCACTCAAAGGCATTTATGCTTCTATTGGTGGACTAGTACTAATTGGAATTCTAATACCATGGTTTTTGCTTACAATTCCACTTGCGTTGGCCCTACTTATTTATGTCAGACAACAATATATTTCTACAGGCAGTGCACTTAAAAGGTTGGATGCTATTTCTCAGTCACCAATATTTGCACATTTTACAGAAACACTACAAGTAAAATTGAGTATTTTTTATTTTAAAAATAATACTAACAATGTTTTATTCAAAAGGGAGCGGTTTCTATCAGAGCATATAATAATCAAAAACGGTTTCATGACCAACTTGTTAAATTGGTGGACAACAATCATAAAGCTTATATTTTATATGTTCATGCATCAACATGGCTCTCTACGAGATTGGACTTTATAACTACAATATCTATCACAGTTGCAGCATTTCTTATTGTGTTTTTAAGGAATTATATTTCTCCTGGGCTCACAGGTAAAAATATCAGCCTGCTAGCTTTTTTTGAATATCAGGTCTACAACTGCTAATGCTTTGTTTAATAGTCAGGTGTTATACTTGTACAAACCTTAAAGCTTACTGATGTCCTCCAGATTGCAATCAAACGGACAGTTGAAGCAGAAAGCTTGTTTGTAAGTGTGGAGAGAATTCTAGAATATTGTCATTTATCTACAGAGGCCACAAATAAATCTGAGCCAAGGATTCTTTCAAGCAATTGGCCTACTGCTGGGTCTATTGAGTTTATCAACTACACGTTAGCATACAGGGAAGATCTTCCAGCAGTTTTGAATAACATATCATTTAAGGTAATACTTATTATTGTGTAGTTTAAAATTAACTATTTTATCCAACAGATTTTCCCATTAGAAAAAATAGGAATTGTGGGAAGAACTGGTGCCGGAAAGTCAAGCTTGGCTGCAGCTATGTTCAGAATGGTTGAGAACATGGCTTGTAGTGGAACAATACTTGTGGATGATATTGACATCAAGACCATTGGACTGGATGATTTGAGACAAAGATTGTCAATAATCCCACAGGTAAGCTTTCAATATAATTCAAATGTCAATGCCTTAGAAGTGTTCACAATGAGCAGGATCCTGTTCTTTTTTCTGGCACATTAAGATTTAACATGGATCCATTTGGAAAGAACGATGATAGAGAAATTCATGAAGCACTGACAAGAGCGCATTTCTCCAGCACACAGTCGTATAAGAACTTTGACAACGGCTTAGATGGTCAGATTACAAGTTCTGGAACAAACTTTAGCGTTGGAGAAAGGCAGCTTCTTTGCCTTGCAAGAAGTTTGCTAAGAAAGTAAGATTGTATTGATTCTACTTCTCAACTGATCATAGCTTATTCTTGCAGGTCCAAAATCCTTATTATGGACGAAGCAACTGCAGCAGTAGACAATGACACAGACCAAATCATTCAAGCAACTATTCGAGCCTCTTTCCAGGATTGCACCGTTCTAACAGTTGCCCATCGCATCCAAACAATTATTGACAATGATCGTGTCTTAGTGATGGAAGCTGGACGCATTGCAGAGTTTGATACCCCCAAGAACCTCCTCAAACTAACAGGCAAGTTATACTCGATTCTATTATGGTTTTAGAATCTTATGTTATGTTCCTTAGATGGATTTTTCTTCAACATGGTCGCTCATAATAAAGCAGCTAATGAAAAAGTTTAATATGAGATCTATTTCTTTTAAAATGTCTTATCCAGAAGAGTATAATAAAAGATCACTGTAAAAACTATATTTACATTTATTGAGTTTGATGGGAGCTCCACGTGTGAAACCTTGATGTCCTTGAAGTCGCATTCGTGATAATTGATGACTCCGCGGTTTGTTTCCAATCTAGAGCTTCAGTTTAACTGCTCAAACCTCAAGCTCAACCTCATCGAAAGCACGAACACATGCTGGACGTGAGGTTTGATGCAATGGACGTAATTTTGAAGTACCGTGGAGCCGAGCTCGCAGTCCAGCCATTTTCATTCCCCACCTTTGTGCTTGCGGAGACTGTTTTGGTGAAACGGGGGATCATGGTGAACGAGACGAGCCTTTCCCTGGATAAGTTGAAGCTGTTTAAAGCGGATGTTGAATCGGGCAAAGTCCCACTCTCGGCAGCAATCCTGTCAGTGCCCAGTGGATTGAAGACAGTTCATCCAGTAGCTCGGATTACTTGCAGGCTGATCTTACCTGTGACTTGGGCATGATTCTTCCACAGATGGGTGAAACCAATGCGCAAGATATTGTGTTTGATGGTGCCCTGTACTGTCCCTATTATGATACTAAACTATGCAAGAATATACTAACATACCACGAAATTTAATTTAACACTTGACTACATTTTTACCCTGCGCCACCGAGTGGTCGCTCCACGCCCATATTGACACCAATGCGCAGCTCATCGGACTGGCATTCTCGCCTCGCGGTTGAGATTTCGGGCTCTGATGTAAGTGCTGGCAAAGGAGCCGAGCTCAATCTTTTCATCCTGTAAGTTCCTTTGTGTTCTTTGTCGTTTTTCCTTTTTTTTTTTTTAATTTCTAAACTACTCCAGCTTCACGACTGACTTGAAGATCAAGAGCATTTGCGTCTTCGGGGGCACTGATGGCAGTCCATCCAAAATGAAAGCGTAAGTGTTTTCAGTCTTTTTCTCTCTGCTGGGTTTTGCTTAGTGCTGGCTTTCATTTGCAATTGGCTGGTAAGGTCGTGGATAAGTTTGTTTTTAAATGCAGGAAACTCTGGATTGATCCGACCAGCAATCTTACGTGGAGGCGAATGTTAGCGTAGATGGCCAGACGGCAGGCTTGGTCTCTGGCTATGGTCCCTTGACCTTCCTCCAGGTGTGCTTCTACCGTTTAGTAGAATTCTTTGTCGTGGAAGTTTATGTGTAAGAACTATAATTACATTCAGAAATGTGTCGTAGCCCTTTTCCCATTGTGTATGCTGGTCGGATCATCAGGAACGATGGTGCGACTTCAAGGTTTCAACTTCACGGTTTGTTTCTCCAGTTTAAGTGCTCGAATCTCAAGCACCGCAAGCACACGCGTACGTGGAGTTTGATTCAATGGACGCTATCCAGCAGTTTTGATTCCCCAGCTTTGTGCTTGCGAAGGAGCGCACTGTTTTGGCGACAAGGAGGATCGTGGTGAACGAGACGAGCCTTCCTGCGGATAAGTTGGAGCTGCTTAAAGCGGATGTTGAATCGGGCAAAGTTCCACTCTCGGCGGCAATCCAAGTGGGTTGGAGGAGAAATGTCATAAGCTGTGACTTGGGCATGACTTTCTAGATTATCCTCTGAATATTCTATTTAGGGCAGGGTCATGGAAACCTTACCATGATAAATATTGAGCTAAACATAGTTAATATCCATACACTATACTAGAATATTACCTATAATATTTAACGGACACGTGGACCTGTCGCGAATGCAGGATAACCTTGGCTACATTTTCTAGGGCTTTTGCTAGCGATGGCGTCGTGCACACACCACCACGACTGCGCCGACCACTCCTGCGCCGCCGAGTGGTCGCTCCACGCCCACATTGACACCGCCAAGGTAAATGCGCAGCTCCGCGCCATCGATCGGGGCGCGACATTCGAACGTCGCGTCTCGGGGTCGAGATTTTGGGCTCTGATGCGTGTGCCTGTAGGTCTGGGCGCTGAACGAGGCCTCTCCAGGCAGCTCCAAATCGGTCTTCAAGAGCTGGGATCAGCGACTGGATCTCTCGGTAAGTGCTGCCAAAAGAGCGTTCTTTTTACATTTTTTTGGCCGTGTAGGGATCGCTGGAGAGCAATGAGGACGATCCCGAGCTCATTCTTTTCATCCCGTGAGTTTCTCTTTGTTCTTCTTTGTGAAGTGTTGTTCTTTCTTTCTTTCTTTCTAAAACAAAGAAAACTACTCCAGCTTCACCACTGACGTGAAGATCAAGAGCATTTGCGTCGTCGGAGGCACTGATGGCAGCAGCCCATCCAAAATGAGAGCGTAAGTGTTTCGTTTTCTTTTTTTTTTCCCTTTCTCTGCCGGGTTTTGCTTAGCGCTGGCTTTGCAGGTTCATAAACCGCGAGGACATCGACTTCTCGGATGCGAGGGAGCTCCTTCCCGTGCAGGTGTGCTCCGAGAAGTGTTACGCTTGTCTAGAATCTAAGCTCATCCTTTTTCTTTGCAGGAGTGGGATTTGGCTGAGAATCTCCACGGAGAGCTGGAGTACCCAACGAGGTAACTTCAACTCTTTTGGATTGGTGCCTTTAAAACTCTTCCTCTCAGGTATCCCAAGTTCCAAGGCGTCGCCAATCTGACCCTGCATTTCCCGACCAACTTTGGCGGCACGAGCACGCGCATCCACTACGTTGGACTGAAAGGAGAATCTACCAAGGTTGAGTCGTGCTCCTTGTGGTATACTTACCTGATTTATGAGCTTGTACAGGTGAATCGGGATGCTGTGACTAATGCAGTCTACGAGGCATATCCAAATCTGTCAGAGCACCAGTAAGTCGGGGTTTTCACGCAAGGAATGCCGGTGACGATTTGTTTTGTCTTGCAGGATCCCAGGTGGTACTGGAGCACCCGAAGTTTCGTAGCTTTTCGGAGGCGCTCTACTCCCCCCGAGTGATTTACTCGTTACGTTTCGCTCTATAAGGTGTTGCTAGCGCTAGAGCTGTACAGGGAAGCTTGGTTTTGGACGCCTTTTGAGACCGGAAATGATACCAAAGCCAGGAAAGTTTTTTGGTACTTGAGTCTACTTTTTTTTTTTTTTTCCCTTTTGTCAACCCTTTCACAGGTACTGTCTTCTCTGTAAGCACAGGACCAGGACATCGTCTATCGTACGCTTCTTTTTTAATCTCTTGACATGGTTATGACAACCCATGTTCGATCTCTGTTTAAAGTGGGTCTACAAACACGCCAACTTTGCTGGGTGTAGAACAGGTAAGCTACACCTGGGATGTCCTTACTGCTCTATCGGGCAAGGTGATCGAAACATTTGGTAAATCCTGGACAGATGGCTTGGCTCGACAATTTCACTTTAGATCTTTGGTTTTCTAGCTAGCTGACAGGGTACTAGATGCGCAATGCCTCCTCGATTGAATGCTTGGCGCTATGAAACTAGACCGAGAACGGGAAACCCTGGGTATTGGCTTGAAGCTTACAAGAGAAGCTAGTCCAGGCCGATGGCCCCAGATGGATATCTAGATCCAAAGAAGATAAATTAATATAAATATACAATATTTATATGACACTAGAAAGCTATGAATTGAAAGTAATAAAATCATAACATGATAAATCAAAACAGTAAACAGAGAAATTATTACAGTAGCTGTTAAAATACAGTTTTAGAAATGATAGATAAACAGTATTATTTTAGAGCGTAAAAAGTAGCAACTATTTCAATAATATTAATCTTATAAAATATAATTAGACCTAAATTTATTAACAATATTAGTAATAAGTCCTTTTCTAATCTTCTTTTTCATTTAAATGTATAATTAAATATTCTAGAATATCCTATTTGAAATGAGTTTATCCTGTCTAAAACTAGATAAATAAATAAACTAATGGAAAACATAACTTTATTATTTCTAAATAAGAACAAAGCCTCTGAAATTCAATTTTTTTTCAAGTCTGCAACATCTATATAATTAAATGTTTCACATCACCCTACAAGAAAATAAAGTACAAAAGAGTAGTATCAATTGAAGAACCCATGATGAATACATGATAGGAAAAACAATTGAGGGTGATAGTTTGTATGTATAAAGGGCACATTTAACTTCCAAAAGAAAGGAGAGACCCCACAACCCACCCAGGGCAGAGAACATTGAGTGCTGGTCTACCTAAAGTGAGGCAAAATACCCTTAGTTCAGCATGCTCAAATATTCTTTAGGTAAATTGTTTCCAAGTTTGTACCAGACTTCCAAAAAGAAGCCCCTTGTACAATTTACATTGTACATTAGATGGAGTATTGCAAGTTGGTGCATATGCATTTAGTTTATCCTTATGTTTTGTTCTTTTTGGAAAATTACATCTGGTTTTTATTTTCCCAAGTTGTGCACTACATTTGTTTTCTGATTTTAAATTCCTTGTTTTTTTCCATTACTTTATCATTTTTGCAGGCATGTCATGTGCTCCTCTTAAAAGCTGGGCAGAATACTCTCTTTCCTGTTTTGCTTTGAAGGTCTTGGGAGTGTGATGTTGTAACCACCTTGCTTAGAGCAGGCTTGCTCTCCTTTTTGCCCCCTCCAAACATTTTTATTAGACTAGCCAACAAAGGGGTATCTGTCTTTTGGATTTCAACTTGCAAAATGCCAAGCTCCACTGATTTAGTTGGAATATGATAGCCCACGAGGCACCATGAGGGAGTGAGGTAATTTTTAGGTCCCATGCTCCTCAATCGGGCACACGTGGATGGAAACAAGTTAGTCACCAAACAAGCTTTGTTATGGACTATATCTCAAAGTCTCTCCTTCAAGGAGAATACTCTGTTTTGGACCAAATCTCAAGGTCTCCTTAAGGATGATAATGACATTGTTTTCATCCTAGCAGCAGCAGCTACCATGTTTGAGACTGGATCCTTTTGGAAAGATCTCATTGAATTTGCTCTCTAATCACAGGTAAAGTGAATCAAATTCTACACATGGGGACAGATCGTGTCATTGAATGTGCTCTCTAATCGCAGGTTAAGTGAATGTAATCCTACACACGTCTCGTGAGGAAAGGTTCAGCTTTTTCTTTGCTTTTGTCGAAATGGGTGACAGATCATGTCGTTCTTTACAAGATCAATGGTTATCAAGCCGAGAAAGTTAGAAAAGATTAAATGGAAAGAGTTTTCAAATGTAGAAGTTGAGACGAATTGGAAAGCCCAGTGATTGGAACAACACACTGAAAGAGAGAAAGGAGGAATCTATCAACATCCAAGGTATATGGTCAAGGACCTCACAATGGATGTGTAATATGTGTAGTTCTAACTGTATGGTTATGGATGACATGACACCCTCCAGCAAAAAAATAATAATTTTCTAATTTTTTGGCTGACTTTTGCGATAGTAAAGGAGAAAAACACTAGTGGTGGTGGATGACTGCGGCGTAGTGCGGCATGCCGCGGCATGCCGCGGCGACCGCTGCGGCATAGCTCATTCCCTTATCCACGGAGAAGAGAGAAGAATGGAGTTTTCACACTGTGGCGCAATGAAAGAAAGACCCTCGCAGCTCTTTCTTTGGCTCTTTTTCTTCTCGGCTTTTCAGGGATTAGGGAAGGCATGTTGAGAGCGCGAATGCGGCGGCGCGCGCCATCGCTGCGGTTAGAGCGCTCCAGGGCGTAGACCGGGTAGGGAAACAGGGTTTCGATGCCGGCGCCAGGCGATCTTGGCGGTGTTTGGTCGGATCTAGCGATATTTCGGGGTGGAATCGGCTTCTTGGCTCCCAGGTTCTCGGCAGTGGCCTCGCATTGCGGTCTGTGATGCTCCGGCCGGCCAGCAATCCAGATTAGGGGAAAGAGGAGAGGAAGGAATGCACGGCGATGGAAGCGCCGGGAATGCTGAGCATTGGAAGGATCTGGAGTGACGAGGAGCGATAAGCGCAGCTCTCTTTATTCCACTGTTTGGGGAAAAGCTGTGGCATATTCGCGTAGATCTATATCGGCCGCCAGGAGCAATTTGGCCTGCGAGCTGGGGGACAAGGAGGACAATGACTCAACTCCAACGAACAGGATCGAGATAGGAACAATGTGTCAAGTTCCAGCCGCGAAGGAGATTTTCAGTCGCTCTTCGATGGATAGCTGCGGCAAACGGGGTGGCAAGGAATTGCCCAATGGGACCAGCTCCGCCACCACCAGCACCAGCACCAGCACCAGCACGACCACGAACGCCGCCGCCGCCGGGGGCAATCAAGGAAGGCTGGCTGTCAAGTGGTGGGTGCCTCCAGCGAGCTCTCGCAGCTCGGGATCCAAGAGCAAAGGGCAGAAGATCGGTGAGAAGTGGTATGGAACGCTACTACTTTTGTGGCTGCTCGGGGGGATTTGCGTCTCTATCTGGGTGTACAGGTCCATGAACGCTGGGAACATCAGGCGCCACAGGGAGCTGCTTGACAACATGTGTGACGAGCGAGCGTGGATGCTCCAGGATCAATTCACAGCGAGTATGAACCACGTTAAGGCACTGGCTGCGCTCCTCCGGACATTTCATCTGGGAAAGCAGCCGTCGGTGCTCGACCAGGTTCGTTCTCTTTCCATTTTTTTTTTCCTCCGCACTTTTTTCTCTAGCTTACTTCTTTTTTCCCTTTCTATAGGAGACATTTGCTGTCTACACGAAGCGGACGGAATTCGAGAGGCCGTTGATGACTGGGGTGGCGTATGCCCAGCGCCTGTTTCACTCGGAGCGGGAGGCCTTTGAGAGGCGCTATGGCTGGGAGATCAAGACAATGACAACCAAAAAAGTCCAGAGTCCCCAAGCAGAGTACGCGCCAGCCGTTTTTACGCAGAACAGCTTGTCTTATCTAGAGTCCCTCGACATGCTGTCCGGGAAGGCAAGTGCTCCCTTGTTTTGTTTTAGCTTCTCACACGCGGAGCTGCAGGAAGACTGTGACAACATATTGCGGGCTAGATCATCCGGGAAAGGAGTTTTGACGACTCCAATGAGACTTCTCGAGTCTAACCACCTAGGCATCGTGGTGACTTTCACCGTCTATAAGGAGGATCTGCCCGAAGACGCTTCGGAGGAAGAACGAATTGCTGCAAGTGCCGGGTACTGCTGATTCTGATTGCTTTATAGCATGTGGTGTCTGATATACTTTTACCATGCAGCTATGTCGGTGGTGCATTCGACTTCGAATTGCTTGTGACAAACTTGCTAAAGCAACTTGCCGGTAGTCAATCAATCATCGTGAATGTCTATGACGTGACGAACGAATCTAAGCCTCTACTTATGTATGGCCCCGATGCTTACTTGGAAGGGCGTGACGTCCATGTGACGGAACTAGACTTTCGGGATCCTGCAAGAAAGCATGAAATTCGCTGCAGGTAAAAGAGCTTACCATGGCTTTTCTACGGATTGACAGATGCTGTTACTTTTCAGGTTTCACAATCCCCTTCCGATTTCATGGTCGGCTATCACAACTTCAGTGGGAATATTGGTGATCGTGTTTTTGGTGGGTCATATATTGCACGCAGCAATAAATAGGATACAGAAAGTTGAGGAAGATTATCGACGTATGGAAGATTTGAAAGTACTGGCTGAGTCTGCTGATATTGCAAAATCTCAGGTATGATTGTATGGCATCTATTTGACCTTATATTCAGATGATGACACTTTTTTGTGAAGTTTTTGGCGACTGTTTCCCATGAAATTCGCACCCCAATGAATGGAGTACTAGGTAAAGAATTAAATTTTTATGTACATTTTTCTGAAGTTTTGGTGTACACAGGAATGCTTCAAATGCTTATGGATACAGACCTCGATCCAACACAACGCGACTATGCAGGAACAGCTCACGAAAGCGGGAAGCAGCTCATAAAGCTCATCAACGAGGTTTTGGACCAAGCCAAGATCGAATCTGGACGAATGGAACTCGAAATGGTTCCTTTCGATTTGAGGACCATTCTTGACGACATTCTTTGCTTGTTTTCAGCCGAAATCAAGGATAAGGGAATCGAGGTACGCAAGCTTTTCATTTTATATGACAGCCATCCTGAGGCCTTGTTTAATCCAAGTTGGCTGTCTTCGTTTCGGAAAAAGTACCTGACGTCCTGGTAGGAGATCCTGCTCGCCTACATCAAATTATTACCAACCTTGTTGGCAACTCTGTCAAGGTAAGGAATTGTTTGCGCCGTTTTCTGCTGTAGTGATGGCTTCTATATGCAGTTCACAGAACGGGGCCACATCTTTGTGTGCGTTCATATGGAAGACGAGTTGACCACAGTCTCAAAAGAGGAAGGATTCGACTCGTGCAATACGCTGAGTGGCATGAAGGCTGCAGACCCCAGGCTTAGCTGGGACAGTTTTAAGAGTTTGGTTGGCGGGCTTGAGGATAGAAACTGTGGCGAGCTTACGGATGTCAGGATCGTGTTCAACGTTGAAGACACAGGGGTGGGGATTCCGCTTCTTGCACAGGATCGTGTTTTCACGCCGTTCATGCAAGCTGACAGTTCTACTTCGAGGAATTATGGTGGCACTGGGATAGGATTGAGCATAAGCAAGTGCTTGGTGGAGTTGATGCAAGGCAGCATGGACTTTGTCAGCCAACCTGGTATCGGAGCTACATTCAGATTCTCGGTAGTGTTCAAAAGAGGGGAAATGAAAATGCCGGAGGCCAGATACCCGCATATAAGTCCAAAGCATTCTCAGATGGCGCGGCTGACGCCGTGCTTGAAGAATATGCGGGCACTTGTTGTTGACGGGAGGCCTGTAAGGTCACAGATAACGAGATACCACTTGCAAAGACTGGGAATGCAAGTTGAAGTCGTAAATGATATACCGGCAGCTTTGTCTGGGGGTGCGAACTCAAGGTAAGATACTCGGTGGTTGTTTGCTTTTGTCCAAACACTGACGGATGCTCTTGTTTTGTAGAAGCCTTGATATGGTGCTTGTCGACAAAGACTCCTGGGGGCCGGGTTCCGGACTCGTGGTTCCTCAAAAGTTGAAGGACGCGGGAGGAAGGTTTAAGAATGCGAAGTTTATCCTACTTGCGGGTTCGGCGATTGATAACGAGCCTCTGAAAACTGCTCCGTCCGGCTTCATTGCTACACATCACAAACCTGTCCGAGCAAGCTCTTTTGCAACTTTCCTGGAGAAAGTTTTCGGCTTTGGCAGTAAAAGATTGAACGGCAGGGAGATTTCGCAGGGGTCGAGGTTGCACAGTCTCTTATCTGGGAAGCAGATATTAGTGGTTGATGACAATAAAGTCAACAGGCGAGTTGCTGCCGGTGCTCTCACCAAGTATGGTGCTCGCGTTGAATGTGTCGAGAGTGGCAAAGCAGCGATTGCAAGACTTCAGCCATCCCACGAGTTTGACGCATGCTTTATGGACGTCCAAATGCCCGAGATGGACGGGTGGGTAGTATTTCATTTTCCTGTTTGTCGTAAATGACGTCTTGTGTCCTTTACTCTTGTGCAGCTTTGAAGCAACTAGAAAGATTCGGGAAGCTGAGGGACACGATTGCAAGTGTCGCCTCCCTATTCTGGCAATGACAGCGGACCTCATCCAGGCCACCCGGGACGAATGCACCAAGTGTGGTATGGATGGTTACGTATCGAAACCGTTTGAAGAGGAGCAGCTTTACAAGGCCGTCGCCAAGTACTTCGAGTCTTCGGCAAAACCGAATGATCTCAAAGGCAAAAGCGAATGATCTCAAAGGGCCTTGAGGTGCAGCAGGCTTTGGAGGAAAGCTAATGATTTTGACGCCATACCGGGCGACAGGGTGGAGGTAAAAAGTGTGAGCACTCCCACTGGAATGAATCTAATCGTTCGTTTACAGAATCTCCTCGGGTAGTTTCCTGCTCTGGAGCAGGATACTCGAAGCGATGACAACATCAAGGTGAAGTCTAGGGATTTGTATATTCTATTGACGTGATTTCCAGTGCACAACCAAAGAACTGTAGGGAATGCACTGAGGCAGCAATTGCGCGAGTGTATATACTCCAATAACATACCGGTTTTGGCGTCTCAATTCTCGTCTAGTTCTACACAGGAAGTGGGCTTCAAAGCTGTTCGAGTACTCTGTACACCAAGACTCAAGTTTGACGACTCTACCTGACCCGCAAGCAACAGGTACCCACTGTGATCTAGAAAATACTTCGCAGCTTGAACAGCTTGAGAAACCTGACTCTAGCTCTTAAAGGCTCCCAGCAAGCACGTCCATTCCAGAGCAGTGGGAACGATGGTGGAGAGAAGCTCTTGTGCATCACTCGGATGTCCGGCACGGCAGGAGAGGTCGAGCATGCAGCAGTAGTGGTGCTTGTTGGGCGACACTCCAAAGTCCACGCTCACCGACCCAAAATGGTCTCTGTCGTGAAGCAACATCCCTTCGTAACTACAGAACAGAACTGAAGTTGATATCATCCGGCAGCTCGGCAACTTTGAGCTCGGCAAAGAGATCAAAAGCTTCGGTGGTGTGGCCATTTTGGGCGTAGGCAGCGAGCAGGGAATTCCAGGAACAGATACGAGGCTCGGGTGCCCAGCAGAAGTTCTGTGCAGCAAGGCCGAGGTGGCCGTTCCGAGCATCCGTCACGGCAGTCCACAAGACAAAAATCTCCGGCATTGGAAGAAGCAGACGTACGCCGAGAGCATCGCGTTCCAGCTGGTGGAGTCCCGCTGCGGCATTCCATCGAAGATTTCCCGGGAGAGAACGAGCCCAAGCTTGCGTTAAAGAATGCTAGCTCAAGATGTGGGCATATGCTCCAAGCATGGGGATCGTTGTGGCATATTCTCTAGCATATTTCTAGCTTCAATGCACAATCATCACTCTCCACGAGCTGGAGTTGCCATGAAAAGCATATTCCGTGCTGCCACTCATTCCACGAGGACGGCAGGTCTTTTGATCGGCATGGTATGAGATGCCTCTATTTTGTTGTCCACTGGATTTTATGGGATAGAGGATCTAATCAAGCAGCAGAATGGCTGGGTGATTGATTTGGTGGCAAGAGGCATCACTAGGAATATGATTAAGCATGGGACTTGCTCTCACTTGCTGCAACCAAGGTTGACCATTGAACGCAAAGGCATTTGTATTGTCACATTTAGTCGGAATGTGGGCAAGTAACAAATTGAGTAAAAACAAAATAATAACATTGGTCCTTTGTTCTGTATTTTGTTCTTTCTGACTATATTTATATAAAATCAGGTGTAATAACTAAATTTATGGGCTATTTTATTTTTTTTCTTTGGCTCCCCTTTAATCTGAAAAATTTTGTAGGCTAAAATTTCACTGTAGTTTCAATTTTAACATTTAATTATTCTTTCAGGTAAAAGTTAAATGAGATTTTATTGATACTTTTGATATTGAAACAATGAAACTTGAATAATTTAATGATTCAAATGAAAGCTGAAGTTGGCAATTTGAAGTAATTTATGAGCCTTTCAAAGATAAAATATCAACTATTATTCTTAATCATTGTGTTGGTAATAATAATGGAAAGATGGTAAAAGGAGTGATTTTCACATATCATGTCATACTGTAACAATAAGTATAACTCTTGCTAATAAAGTAAAATTATATGCAATTTATCTTAAATTTGATGGAAATGAGAATTTCTAAAAATTCATTCTAAATGATATTATATTAAATCAAAATAGCTATGTTAAATTTGAAAATTAATATAAAATAAGACTTTTTATCTGACTAGTCCAAAAAATATTAAAATTATCAAAACATTTATTCATCTTCGTAACTAATGAGTAGTTCTTTAATATGGGAAATTTGAAAATAAAAATATAAACATATTTATATTACTATATTTTTAGTAAAATAATTTAATAATGATAAAATCCAACATCTTTATATTTTACATACATTCAACATTTTTCTGATTTAATTCTATTCAATGCTTAAATTCTATTTTTCCTTTATGATGAGATACATAAAATGTTTCTTTCATATTTAAGTTTTATATATAGAGTATTAACTTAATTTTGAATTACCTTTAACTGTTAGGGGATAGATATTTTATATATTACATATATAAAAACTTTATTCACTAAGAAAAGGAAAATAATTTTAAATTATTTTTAGTATGGATATTTTTTAATTTCTTGACATGAATTTATACATTTTATTATATTTAATCATAAAAAAAGTGAGATGAAAAACAATTATATTAAATGACAGAATTAAAATTTATAATGGTTTATACATCAATTCACTTGTTTAAATACAAGAAAAGATTTATTTAATATTATTTAATTTAATTTATAATTAGAAGAGATAATAAAATTTTCTCAAAAAAGAGTATTTCAATTTTTATATACTTAAAACAACTTGTACTAAAAAGAAATAAACTAGTGATATTAAACTGGGAATAAAAATGTTTTTGATTGAAAATATATTAAACACTTACACCATCAATAAAACTTTATAATATTTTGAATTAAAATTCTGTAAACTATGTATGTTCGAAATAATTAAAAATTTACCCCTTACCATCAATTTAAATACTAATAACAATTTGAATAAATGAACTTATCTACATATATTAATTAGTGTGAGGTCCATACCACATACTATTATTAGCATAATAGGATTTTAATAGGTGTCTGATTAATTTCAATCTAAACCACTTGCTTCTAAAGGTTTTGGGCAAATTGAATATACACATTTCTATATTCCATACACTCACATTGGTAAAAATAAGGGATTATTACCAAAGAGTGCTTGAATTTGTGTTTTTGGTTTAGACCTAACTTTTATATTATTTAGAGTTCTTTCTTTTTCATTTCTTCCTTTTCACTTTTTTTAAAAATTTTCATTCAACTTCTTGGTAGAACATTATACCCTTTGCAATAGCCTCTTTTTCCTCCTCTTCTAATTCTAGAACAACAATTGGTGTAATTCTTTAATATTATTTAGTTATAATTGATCTATTAAATTTAGTTGCATATGGCGGAATTTCTTCCATAGGATTTCTAAGGATGACATATGTTATTGGTTCAATAATTTTATAGTGATTGCCACATGTCATTCTGAGGATGATACTTGGCATCTGAATGAGTTTCTTATATATTTCTAAGAGATGATATTGCAATGGTATAATGGTTTAAACACAACCACTTATGTAAATTAGAGTCTTCTATTAGCTACCATTGTACCATTGTAATGTTGTCTTTTTGGAGACATATGGGAAACTCACATATGTCCAATATCATCTCAAAAATGATAAGTGGCAATCATTATAAAATAATTGAACCAATAATACACATCATCTTTAGAATTAGGATTCCAATTTGAGTTTGCCTTCCAGCAATTGCATCATCCCAATCGAAGGTTGTTAAGTCAATTATGCAATTTAGTGTTTGATTCTAGAGTCTCTTACTTTATGTAAAGTGAAAATATATTACAACAGATTAAGTTAAGTATGTTATGGTTAACATTTTATGAAAATCTTGTAGGACTTATATATGCACTTGCCCCAGCCAACCTAAGGGTTCACTTTGCATTCGTTCATTTAGTATTCACTTTCTAAATTTAGTTTTATAACAAGAGGTCTTTATTATCCTCTTCGTATTAGCTGACATGGGTTTGAAATTATCTTCTATTGCTCATCTTATTGCCATACATTACCATCTATATTTGCATTATGTAGTAGAATCAATGTTCATTCTTTATGGCAACAATTATGCACATGTGTGTATACAAGATGAGGTGCCTTATTGTGAATATGGGTGATCTTGAATTTGAGCTTCAATCATTACAAGTGTTGCCAAGTTAGAGTTTTAACCTCATCTTTAATATAGATTAGTTACACCCTAATCATGCTAAATGTGACTTTGAGGCTTTTCCCCCTTATTTCATATTTTTTTATATTTCTTCCATTCCTTTCATTTTTATATTTTTACCTTTGTTTCCATCATTTTTATCTCCCCAAAACTTCCTACTGTGTTTCTTTTTCATTCTTCTATTTCCTTTCCAAATACTTTATATAGTCTTTATGTTAAGTGGTTGATTGGTTTAAATAAGAGTATGCTAATCTTTTTGACTTTGATTTGTTATTTAAGATTGCAATGTATCAACCTATTTCAATTGAGGATGTTTGTCCGATCAATGTTCTTATTCAATGTCGGTCACCAAAGAAGATTAAGATGGTACAAACAAATTTTTAGAAGATATTAAAGAACTGTGTTATTTCAAAATCTCAAAGTCCACTACTCTAATGACTTTTTAGCAAATTGTCAAGACCCCCAACAAGATCAAGATTAAAAAATGCAGAAGACAAAGAGAAAAGCTAGTGGAGATGAAGAAAAAGCTTTAAACTGGCATTGATTCAGATTGTGGAGAAATGGAACAAGGCTAACCTATATATACTATAGGTTGATGAAGCTCCACCACTCTTGGATCGAGGACAGCCTAAATATAGTTGAGGTTGAAGAGGTGCCATGTCATCATCAGGAATGTGGTTCGAGAATCAGGAATCGTATAGGAAATCAAAGAGTCAGGAATAGGGAAATATTTCAAGAGTTAGGAATGTGGTTTGCAGGTCAGGAATCTGGTGAGAGTCAGGAATGTGGCAAGAATTGGGGGATTCCTGACACAAATGATGCATGAGGTTCTTTGCGATATGTCAAAACTACCAACTTTATCGATAATGTATTTATCCACTCAAAGGGGATATTGAGAGGAGCATATCCATGATGCTTATAAGGTGTTGAATTAGTTGTAGAAAATTAATTTAAAGCTGAAGTGGTAAAAATTTATATTTAGGACCAAAGACATAACTTATTTTAAATATTGCATTTTTTAGGAAGTTTTGCAAATTGATCCTAACAAACTTGTGGCTGTTTTCTACTATAAAATGTGTTAATAATGTGCAACACGTTCTAGCAAGGTGTAATATCTTAGTTGTTTTATTGATTATTTTTCTAATTGTATTTCACTATTACAAGTGTTGTTGAAGTTATCAACATTATCTTTGATTTTTTTTGAGGATTATTAAGGATTTGTAAATCTTAAAGAGATGTTCCTTGAAACTTTAGATATATAACTTCAGGGCTGTTTATCATTTGAGGAGTTTTATAATTTATGTTGAAGCCCTTTTTCAAGCTCCTCTCCCTTTTTCATTCTCTTTCATATTCTTATTAGTCTAGTATCAATGAATTTTCTAATAAGGATTCTATGCCATTAGCTGTTGCTATACTTGATATTTAGTGTCCACAAGGTGCAGAACTAAATTTATATTTTCTTAACAAGGTTTATGAGGCTGAAAAGTTTGAGTTATTTTGTATTAAGTTTGAAAATCCTACATCATTTGCTAATAATTTATTGTTTTGGCTACATTCTTAGTATTATCTTAAGAATTATATTATGAGAACTAATAATTTATGGTTTGTGGTGCCTTTGACCTTTATTCCACGTTTTCTTTATGTTTAACATAACTTTTCTATTCTAGGGGTGCATATAAGACATTATCATTTGATTGAGGTATTTCTATTAGTTTGAGATGCGATGTGAATAGTTTGGTAGATGGTTTATTCAGACCTTCAAAGGGATAATCTTAAAGTTTATAAACTTTTAACATTTGAATTGAGATGGTTATTTGTCATCTTTTCAGTATGTATTTATCATAGGGTTACTAAGTTATATAGGTGCTTCATCATATAAACACTTATATGCTCATGATCCAATATTGCTAACAAATTTAAATTTACCTTTATGATTCCCTGAGACAATAATGGCACTATAACTTTTATTATCATCCACTTGTAAAATACAAAGTGAATGATTTAATGTTGATTCATGTTTTCAATCTTACAATATATAATTTGTTTAAGAGGCTTTTTGCTCAATGGATTGAGTGTTATGGCAAGTTGGACCACAAGTTAATGAGGTTCAATACAATATTCAATAAACTAATCCTCTATAAATTGTGTATATACAACAATTAAAGTGCTTTGTATAAAGGGATTAAGAATAAATTACATCATCTACAAATCTATTAATGCCTTCTTTTAATGTTCTTTTTCCAGATTCTAACTTATTAATTAAAGAACATTAATTACCTTCCATGAGGAGAGGATGATATGAGGTGTTACATACTATTATTAGTATAGTGGGATTTTAATAGTTAATGGATTGGTTTTAATCTGTTCTAGCTAGTCAAATATGTTTATTTTTTTATTTTATACACTCACATAAGTTTTATTAATCAATTACTTGATATTTTAGTATCAAATATAATTGTAGATTTAAAAAGTTGGAAAATAATTATAATTTTAAAAACCACTAATTAATGGAGGTCACATTTACAAGTCTAATCCAATTTGTTCCTCTTTAACTTCTTAAATTGTCCCTGGAAATTCCAAAGTGTTAAACTTATTTTTAAAATGTTACTTGATGTAAGATGAGCCACCAACCACATCAACAAGCTAAAAGTACAGTAAATGCACAAACAAAACAATGTACACCTTTGTTAATAATAACAGGATTTTTTGTCTAAATCCTTAGACCTAACTTCTGTTGGGTGAGGCATGAATCTCTTGGAATCTGACAAACTCATTGAGAGATTTGATCTACATAGTTGATGGGATTAAATCAAAGGACCTTTCATCATGGATTTTCCTCCCTCCACTGCTATGCCCGCCATCCCCACTGCCACGAGGCCAGGTCGATCTTTGATGCTATGCCACACCACAGCATTGCAGCCTGGAATATGCTTGTCACGGCATATATCAAATCAGGGCATCTGCATGCTGCGAAGATGGCCTTTGACGCAGCCCCAGTTAGAAGCATTGTCACGTGGAATGCCATTTTGGCAGCATATTCCCAGTCCGGAAGTGTCGATGTGGCAAGGCATCTCTTTGATGAAATGCCAATGTGGAATCTGATATCGTGGACGACTCTGCTGGTGGCATATACCCAGAACGGGCATTTGGAAAGCGCAAAAAATCTTTTTGATGCTTTGAAAGAGGCTGATCGAGACCTTGTAGCATGGAACGCAATGCTTGCCGGATATGCGAAGCTCGGAAAAACCAAAGAAGCGTTTGATTTGTTTCAAAAGATGCCATTGCAGGATCTTTTCTCGTGGAACACTATTCTTTCTGCCAATGCCCAGAAAGGAAACCTTCATACAGTGGAAGAGATCCTCTCTTCAATGCCTATGCTTAGCCTGGTTTCCTGGAACTCTGCCTTAGGAGCATATGCTCGTTTTGGAGCTTTGAATCAAGCAAAAGACCTCTTCAAACAATTGCACCAGCATGATCTACTCTCCTGGAACTTGAGGCTCTTGGCATATGCTACAAACAGGCATCTTGAAGAAGCCAAGGGCTTGTTTGATTTGATGCCGCAGCGCGACGCCAGCTCTTGGACGGTGATAATTGCATTGTACGGTGAATACGGCCTAGTCCATGAAGCCAGAAATATGCTAGAGGATATGCCACAGCATGACGTACCTGCATGGAACGCCATGCTTGGAGCATATGCCCAAAACGGGCATCTTGAGAAAGCTTTGTTAGCATTCTTTAACGAGGCACCGTGTTGGAACCTTGTTTCATGGACTGTGATTTTATCCCTGCTCGTAGAGACTGGAAGATTCAAGCAAGCTTTGGAGTTCTTCCATTCGATGCCAGAGAGAGACATCGTTTCGTGGAACATAATGCTGGCTGGTGCTGCAAACCGTGAAGACAAGATAGTTCTCTTCTATCAAATGCCGCAGCACAACCTCGCAACCCTGTGGATTATGGGAAAGATCGAAGACGTCGGCCAACAATACCTTCCCCGTGAGAGCTTTGCGTCCCAAACTGCGTCCTTGATCTTCCTCCTCCACAAAGCAAGCCTGGAGCAAGCCAAGTTCGTGTTCGACAGCATGGAGCTCCGAGACCTCGGTTCCTGGACGGCCATGCTCGTTGCCTACGCTCAAGCCGGGCTCGTCGATCTCTCTAGGGAAATCTTCGATGGAATGCCGCAGCGGGACTCCACCAGCTGGAATGCGATGCTCTCGGCCTATTCCCAAAATGGTCTTCTCTTCGAGGCCAAAGTGATCTTCTTCCAAATGCCGGAGAGAACTTTCGTCTCGTGGACTGTCATGACAAACGCCTATGCTCTCAACGGGCATCTCGGCCTTGCTGCCCAGAGCTTCAGCTGGACACCTGAGCCTCGTATCTGTTCCTGGAATTCCCTGCTTGCTGCCTACGCCCAAAACAGCTACACCACCGAAGCTTTTGATCTCTTTGCTGAGCTCAAAGTTGCCGAGCTGCCGGATGATATCACCTTCAGTTCTGTTCTGGTTGCCTGTAGCCACGAAGGGAAGTTGCTTTACGGCAGGGACCATTTTGGGTCAATGAGTGTCGACTTTGGAGTGTTGCCCAACAAGCACCACTACTGCTGCATGGTTGACCTCTTCTGCAGAGCCGGACATCCAAGTGATGCACAAGAGCTTCTGTCCACTATGCCTTTTGTTCCCACTGCTCTGGAATGGACGTGCTTGCTGGGAGCCTGTAAAAGATACAGTCAGGTTTCTCAAGCTGTTCAAGCTGCAAAGTATTTTCTAAATCAGAGTAGTGGAGGGTACTTGTTGCTTGCGGGTCAGGTTGAGTTATCAAACTCGAGTTTTTGTATGTAGTTGAATAGTTAAGTCCACTTCTAGAACCTGTGAATAACAAATTTAAAACCAATATATTATTATTGCACAATTCAGTATAGTCTTAATCACAATAATAGTATTTTGAGATGTTAAATATTTAATAATAATTAAATTGCAATCTATGAAGATTCAACTTGTTTTTAAATGTAATTTTGCAATTATAATATATCTTTGTAAATTCCTTTACTTATTTAAGAATGCACCAACAAGTTTCAATTATTTATTTATTTATTTACCTTGCGCTTGTAAATAGAAGCTGTGACTTTTATCCATTAAAATTATCATTGTTACAAATTATTTTTGCACACTGTCAAAAGGTCAAAGATTTATTATATTATAATATATATTATAAAATGCTACCTGAACTTATTTTTTATTGAAATTTATTTTAATAATTTAGAATAAAATAATTATTATATTAAAAATACTATATAATATTTTAATTGCAATAAAAGACACAACAAATCAGTTTTTTTTTAAAGACTGATATTTTATTTTCTACACCTTATATATTCTTAAACACAATTTAATATACCAGGTCAAATTTTTATGTAATAAGAAAACACTTTTTTAGCTTCAATGCAATTTTCCTAAATAATTATGACTAGTGTATTATAATCTTAATATCTAGTGTAATTATGTTTTGAAAATCTTGAAGGTAATATTACAGTATATTAACAACCTTGAATAACAGCAAGGTAATTGCACTGAAATTTCAAATCATACCCTTTAGTATAGCACTTTAAATAGCTAACCTTCAAATTAATTATATGGGATATACCAATTAAAATGTGAGTATAGCTTTTATTATAAATCACTCTGTGAGTGTTCGAGATATAGAAATAAATATATTAATTAGGGTTTATATATACAAGAATGGATGGATGGACTAGATTCAATCCTAAATAGATGGTCCATATCTTATAGTATTATAATTAATGTATAATCTAGCTAGAGTATTTTATATATATATACATTGTGTTCATCCTCATTCTGCCATCTATGTTTGGCTTCACTTTACTATCATATTCATTTGGCCTCATTACGTCAAGGCTAGATGTTCTATTTTAACTTATAATGCTCGTTCTTACTTCATAATTCATATCAATCGTCTATTTATCCTCATTCCATTGTTAAAGCCGGACTCCCATCCATCCCTTCTACCCCCTCTTTCAAAGAAAAAAAATTTAAAATGTCTAGACATAAAGGAGAAAGTAAAAAAAAGAAAGGAAGAAACATTATAGAAGAAGAAAAAGAGGAGAAAGAAGCAACAGAAGAGGAGGTTTTAACAATTGTTAAAATAGACATATGGAGAAAAGAAGGAAATATATTCAAAGTTTGGAAAATAAAAGATTTATTGTGATAAAATACTTTAGCTTGCATAAGATATGTATGAGATTCATATTAGTAAACTTCCTCAATACATAATTCAACACTTGAAAAAGTAAAATTAATAGAAAAGCATACACTCTCAAGGGAACACATAAACCCCTTAGTAGCAATAATAAAATAAAAGCTCTTAATAGCACTCATAACTAGGGACATGCACTTAACCCAAACCTCTAGTCAAAGTGATTCAACCCTTGGAATAGGGGAATACTTAATATCAGAATTGATCAAAAACTACCAAAGAAACAAAAACAAGATTTTCAGCTATACATTATATGCTCAACATCTAAATTAGTATGAGAAGGATAAAAAACACTCAACTCAACACCAAATTAAAAATGAGAATCATAAAAATTAAAAATGGTTAATGTGCCAAAATAAGGAAATTGCAGATGAGAAGGTGGCTCAAGCCAAAAAATAAAAAAAGGTTGGGAAAGAGTAGAAGGTAAGGAGAAAGGATTAAATGGCAAATTAAACGAGTAACATTTACTTCCAACTCATCTCCAAACTATCTTCATAATAATCAAGTTCCTATCACAATCTAAAATCCATTTGAGCTAGTAAACATTGTCTTCCCATAAACTCGATTTACAAACATTCTCCAAGAATTAGATTGTATTATTTATAACTTACTAATCAATATCATAATTATGCTCCATACCAATAAGAGATGTCAAAACACTAAGAACAGAATAAGCTGTGTAATTACATCTTATGAAAGTTGGAGATAAGTACACACCAAGGATAAGTGCAACACTAATATGATTATACCCTATGGCATTAAGAGTTCAATCCAATGGAGTAGCATCAGTAGCCTCAAATGACATACTCTCTAATTGATGATGGTGTGGCATAGTAGAAGAAGAGAATGCAATGAAGATTAGAAGAAATAATATATCTAAGCATAGCAATAACTAGAATTCTAAATTTTGCAAAAAACTAATATAGATATAAATCTAAAAGAGAATGAAGAAATAAACACAATCTCGAACATTAAAGTAAATCACTACCAAAAAGTTTTACCTTTTGATAAATTGTAGTGCCTCTCTCCTCCACCAATGTGAGTGCTCAGGATATAGGAATAAATATATTAATAAAGGTTTAAACCACTATTTATATATAAGAATACATCTCAAATTCAATCCCAAATGGATGGTCTATATACTATAATACTATAATTAATGTATTACCTAGCTAGGGTACTATATACATGTATTTACAAACCTTACAACTAAAATTTTAAACTTTTTTTTTACATATTTTCTATAATACTTTTTAATATGAACTATATTTAGTTAGTGTTATTTTATACTAGAATATAATGAAGCTCTAGAAGTAAATAAACAACTAAAAAGGGATTACTTCTGGTAAGTTCTTGTTAATTCTCTTTACTGCCCAGTTCCTTTATCAAATAAAAATTTTAAGATAGTGAAGTAAATACTTGCCATAAAGTCAATATTCTCAATTAAAAATTCTGATGCTTTC